TAAAATTGCAGAGAGGTTACAGGAAGAGTAGGGGTGACCCTATCACATAGTAAGCTGTGCAAGAAACAATATTAACACTATCATAACAATGTAAACTTTGTTTTCAACATTTAGAATTGTTACTGCAAAGTAAATGTACAGATGATGAGGTTGAAAACTAGAATGGCAAAGGAGGGAAGGGTAAGGCCACTAATATCTTGATCTAACTAAGTAAAAATAGAAGAATCATTTATCCACTGTGGTGCAGCAGTCGTTATACTATTGGCTCCATCTTGTCCTCTAATCTCAGTTCAAAATCACTTGATTTACTTAGTCATAAAATATTTATTGGACATGTAGATGTGCGAGGCACTAATTTAGGCCTCCCTAGGAAAGCCTGCTGTGATCAGCCAATCCAGAGGGTTATCCAGTCTCACCTGTTGATCTTATTTTAGCCATCTGCATGACACTTCTCACTGTGTTTTCTGTATATATTTATTAATTTGCTTTCTTGTTGAATATGAATTCTTTGTTTTATATGTTTATTATGATTTGTTTCATGTATATAAGTGTAAGGACTTAACTCTGCTTTGTCACTGTATCCCTTTCACCTAGAACAGTATGCAGTGCTTTGCACATAGTAGGCACACAATAAATATTTGAGTGAGTGAATGAATGGGTAGTTGAATGATATGAATCAAATCAATAAGTAGTTGTTTAAAATTCAGATGTGAACAGTGAAGGAAGTGAAAATGGTGTTATAACTATATTTTGGGGAAAGCTGGTGGCACAAGTTGCTATAATCTAACATGTCAGGAAGGAGTCACTAGATAATATCTAAGTCAAGAAATAGTAACATATAACATTATTTAGAGATGCAAAGCAACAACTAAAAGCAATAAAATTAGGAACAGTTAAAACTCTCTTTTGGGAATGAAAAAACTCAATAGAAAACTGTACCTTTTCATTACAAGCCCTTTGCTTTGTTTGATTTATTTTAAATAAATTATGTTTATTGTTTTCAAGTAGTCTCCTTTTTATGTATGTTAAAAATATTTGTCATGTTATATTGAATTAAAATATTTTAGTAACATTACCTAATCTGATAATTCTAGTAATAAAATTCACATTAAGCACTCAGTCTTTATATAATCTGACCATAACAAGACTATAAGGCAGTACTAAATAAAATGTAAAGAATCTTGATAACATGGATCTGCTCTCAGATCAAAGTATAATTGAAGTTACAAATGAGTGACAAAGAGATGAGTTTTTAAAAATCTCATCCATTTGGAAATTTAAAAGTGTACTTCTAAATAATTTACGAGTTGAAAAAGAAATAGTAATAACAACGAGAAAGTATTCACAGTAAGGCAATGACATAAAAAAAATGTATCAGAACTTGTGTGATGCACCTAAAGCAATACATAAAAAGGAAATTTTAAGTCTTAAAATTTTATTTTAAAAAGATGAATGAAAAGGACAGAAATGAATGACATTGACTAGTGGTATACAATAGAGCTCAGAAAACATTCACACATTTATGGAAATCTGACTCAAATTCAGTAAAAATTTATTGAGCACCTACTATGACTGCTAACCAGAATGCTAGTGGTTCAAACCCACCAGCCACTCCTCAGAAAGAAGACTGGGCAGTCTACTTCAGTAGAGATATCACCTTGGAAACCCAGGGAGGAATGGCTGTGAGTTGGAACTGACTCAGGCAGTGAGTTTGGTTTTGGGTATGTGTCATGCATATTCTATTTGTTATATTTACACAATAAGGATAGGATACAATGACATGTAATTAACAGACCAAAATAGGTTAATCCTTGCCCAAGGTGCTCACATACTAGTGAAAAAGACAACAGTAAAGAAAGTAAAAATATAGTAGGTTATGTTGTGGTAAGTGGTATAAAGAAAAATAAGCCAAGGAAGATGGAATAGGGAATAAAGTTGGGAGAGTTAATTTTAAATCGGTTAATTAACAAAGGTCCCCCTGCAAAGGTGACTTTCGTAAAGTCTTAGTTAGAGGAGGGAGCCTCCAAGATTTCTGGAGGGAAGAGCATTGCAGATAAACCAAAAAAAAAACCCAAATTCACTTTGTCAAGTCGGATCTAACTCATAGAGACCGCTCCTTGGGTTTCCGAGGCAGTCTCACTACAGAAGTAGTATGTGAACTACTGTATGGAAAGTGAATTTGCTCTGTAAACTTTCACCCAAATCACAATTTTTTTTTAAAAAAAGAGCCTATTGCATTAATCCAGGAGCTCTGGTAGCGTAGTGCCTAAGGTTAACCAGAAGGCTGGTGGTTCAAACCCACCAGCCACTCCTCGGAAGGAAGGTTGGGCAATCTACTTCCATAGTGATATAGTCTCAGAAATCCAAGGAGGGGTCGCTATGAGTCGGTTCCGACTCTATGGCATATAACAACAACATATTGCATTAATCCAGGCAAGAAATTATGTTGTCTTAGATCAGGATGTAGAGATTGTGAGAAGTGGCCAAAATATTTTAGCATTTGATTGCTAACCAGAAATTTGGAAGAGGAAACCTACTGGCTGCTCCATGAAAGAATGATGGGTTGATCTACTTGTGTAAAGATTTACTGCCTTGGAAACCCAATGGGGGTTGCTATGAGTCGGAATTGACTCGATGGCAGTGGTTTTTTTTTTTTTTTTTTTGAGACATCTAGAGGAGCTCTGGGAGCTCTGGTGGCGTAGTGCCTAAGACATATGACTGCTAACCAGGAGGCTGGTGGTTCAAACCCATTAGCCACTTCTCGGAGGAAGTATGGGCAATTTACTTACATAGTGATACTGCTTCCGAAACCCACGGAGGGGTCGCTATGAGTCAGATCTGACTTGAGGGTAGTGAGAAAGGAGCTCTGGTGGTACAGTGCCTAAGACACTTGATTGCTAACCAGAAGGTTGGTGGTTCAAACGCACTAGCTGCTCCACAGAAGGAAGATGGGCAATCTACTTCCATAAAGATTTACTGCCTCAGAAACCCAATGGTGGTCACTATGAGTTGGAATCAACTTGATAGCAGTGGCTTTTCATTACACATCTAAACAGAAGTGATACTCAGTTCGGGATTCCTGGCGAGAGTATAAATGTACAAGTTGCCATGAAGGTAGATGCCATCGCTGTATTTAGAAAAAAAATTCTGTGGGCACTCCAGTGTTACGCGGTCAGGTAGAAAAAGAGGTAAGACTAGGCAGTTGTTATAGAATCCAGGAGAGTAAGATGTCTTGGAAGTCAGGTGAAGAAAATACTTCAGGAAGGAGGATGTGATCAATTGTTTTGATAGATCCAGTGACATGGTGGTTATGAGGGATCCTGAGGAGCATTTTGGAGAATGTGATGGAAATCACCTCACTGGAATAAGTTCGAGAGAAAATGGGGGCATGGGATGGCAGAATTAGAGATAGCAGACAACTTTGGGTTTTATAGCTTTATTGAGATATTATTGACATGCAGTAAACTACTCATTTTTGAAGTGTATGATTTTGATGCATTTGACATGTATATAAATCCATGAAGCCATTACCATAATCAGTATACTGAGCCCATCACCCCCAGAAGTTTCTGTGTAATGTTTCACTCTAGTCACCAGGCAGCTACTGCTCTGCTTTCTGTCACTGTGGAGTAGCTTGCATTTTCTAGAATTATATGTCAAAAGAATCATACAATATATTCCCTTTTATGTTTTGTTTTTTGGTGTGGCATCTTTCGTTATTTTGAGATTTATCCATGTTGTTGGCATCCGTGTACAGGCAGTTCCTGGTTTACTAATGAGTTCCATTCCTAACTCTGTCTTTTAAGTTGAGTTTGTACATAAGTTGGAACAGTCAGGTATGGTTCATATCTAACATTAGTTAGTTGTATGTTTGTCAGTATAAGGTATACCTTTCTACACATAAAAACATTAAAGAAACACTTCCAGATATATATCTTTAACATAGTAATACAGCAATAATAATCTTTTGATGCATATAGCAAAGTAGCTCTCATTTGTTATTACAAGCTTTTGTAGGTACCTCACAGTTTTAATGGGAGCTCTGGTAGCGTGGGGCCTAAGGCACTTGACTGCTAACCAGAAGGCTGGTGGTTCACACCCACCATCCACTCCTCGGAAGGAAGGTTGGGTAATCTACTTCTGTAGTGATACTGCCTCGGAAACCCAAGGAGGGATCACTGGATCGGGTCTGACTCCACAGCACATAACAACAACAACAACAGTTTTAATATAATAGGCTTTACAGAGGTTGGTTCGTAACCATGAGTTGTATATAAATAGGATGTTGATAACCTGGGGACTGTTACTCTTTTTATTGCTGAGTAGTATTCCATTGTACGAGTATAACACTGTCAATTCATTCACAGGTTGATATATGTTTGAATTATTTCCAGGTTTTTGTTTGTTTGTTTGTTTGTTTTGTTTATTACAAGTTAAACTGACAGGAATAATCTATTAATAGTCTTTTTGTGGACATATGCTTTTATTTCTCTTGGGTGAATACCTAAGAGTAGACTAGCAGGGTCATAGTAGTTGCAAGTTTAACTTTTTAAGAACATTTGCTCAATAGTTTCCAAAGTAGTAGAAACATTTTATGTTTCCATGTGAAATGTATGAGACTTCCAGTTGTTCCACATCTTTGCCAACACTTGGTAGGATCAGTCTTTTTAGCTGTAGCTATTCTAATAGGAATGTAGTTTAAAATAGTTTCTGTTTTAATTTGCACTTCCTTAATGAATCCTGGCATATTTTTGCATATTTATTTGTCATTCATATATTTTCTTTGGTGAAGGCTCTTTTCAAAAATAATGAATGAATTCATGCTTACTCTTATATATTGCATTGCCTGTGCAGTATTCAGAAACAGTGTAAATGTTTCAAGTGAAAGTTAATTGTACTTCATTAAAAACAGACTTTAATTTACAGTGATAGTTCAAGATGATTGTGCTGATGCCACTATAAATGGAGGAAATAACTGCTGTCTTCCTATATTCTAACAGGTGGCAGCATTGCAAGAGGAGAAAAGTAGTTTGCTGGCAGAGAATCAGGTGTTAATGGAAAGACTCAACCAGTCTGATTCTATAGAAGATCCTAACAGCCCAGCAGGAAGAAGGCACCTGCAGCTCCAAACTCAGTTAGAACAGCTTCAAGAAGAAACATTCAGGTAAAAGATGACTTATTAAAATCTAATTTCTAAAAATCCATAACTGTCTTTTAAAGTTAAGAATATAATATTAAGACTTCTGAGTAGCTCAAACAAAGGATACTTTAAAGACAAAGGTAATATTCTCAAAGTCTTCAAGTAAAAAGTTCAAATAAGTTACAAAGTCAAAATCATTAGAATAGAGTTAGATTTTTCATAAACAACATATAAAGCAAGGTAACACACATGCCCACAACTATCACCATCAAGTTGATTCTGTCTCATATCTGCCCTGTACAACAGAGTAAAATGCCCCATAGAGTTTCCAAGAAAAGTAGATTATGGAAGTAGATTGCCAAATTTAGAGGCCCTAGTTTATGGCACAACTTGTCTATTGAACATAACTAAAAATTCACAAACTGCAGAAGATAAACTAGACAACTGGGAGTTCCTACAAATTAAATGCTTATACACATTAAAAGACTTCACCAGAAGAGTGAAAAAAGAACCTACAGACTAGGGAAAAAATTGGCAAAAACATATCTGAAAATGGACTAATATCTACAATTTATAGGAAACTTAAGCATCTTAACAACAGAAAGACAATCCAACTCAATAGTGGGCAGAGGACATGAACACACACTTCATCAAAGAAGGCATTCAGGCAGCCAGCAAATACGTGGAGAAATGCTCACAATCATTAGTCAGTGGAAAGATGTAAATCAAAGCAACAATGAGATATCATCTCCCTATGGCAGTAATCAAAGAAACAGAAAACAGCAAATGTGTGTAGAGATTATATACTGCTGGTGGGACTGTGAAATGGTACAACCACTGTGGAAAATGGTGTGGTGCTTCCTTAAAAAGTTGGAAATAGAAATACTATATGATTCCGCAATCCTACTACTAGGTATATATCCTAGAGAAATATGAACAGTAACATGAATAGATATATGCACATCCATGTTCATTACAGCATTATTCACAATAGCAAAAAGATGGGAAAAAACCTAAGTGCCCATCAGTGGATGAATGGATAAACAAACAGTACACAATGGAATACTGCACAACATTAAAGAACATTAAAGAATAACAACGAATCTATGAAACACCTCATAGCATGGATGAACTGGGCATTGCAGAGTGAAATAAGTTGATCACAAAAGGACAAATAATGTATGAGAATACTATTATAAAAAGTCAAGTATAGGTTTACATACAGAAAGAAACATTTCTTTGATGGTTACCAGGGATGGGAGGGGAAAGGAGGGAAAAATCACTAAGTAGAAAGTAGTTTTATATTAACTTGGGTGAAAGGAAAGGAAGAGGTCAGCACAATGTGACCAAGGCCAAGGAAGACATTGGGAGGTGCATAAGAGTTTAAAGGCAATAAAGATAAGTACTGTTACTTACATAATCCTGTGATAACAAACACTAATCTCTGAATGAATACTTATGTAGACATGCAAGCTAAATAGGTGTGGGAAGGCAAATGGGACTACACCCACCTATATATATAGGTCTGGCAGAGGATATTTCTACATGTATGTTTGTAGAAATATTTGCTGCAAATATATCCATGTACATAGTAGAGTATACTATGAAAACTTCTCAGCTATAACCAGACATCTTCAGGGAATGAGTTACTGTATTTGTGGGCTGAGGACCATAGTCTCAGGGGACATCTATGTAATTGGCATTACATAGTCTACAAAAACAGTGTTCTACATTCTCCTTTGGTGAATAGCAACTGGGGTCTTAAAAGCTTGTGAACTGCCATCTAAGATGCAACTATTTGTCTCACCCCTTCTGGAGCAAATCTAAGATGCAACTATTTGTCTCACCCCTTCTGGAGCAAATCTAAGATGCAACTATTTGTCTCACCCCTTCTGGAGCAAAGAAGAATAAAGAAAATCAAAGACTCAAGGAAATACTTAGTCCGAAGGACTGATGGACCATTTGAATCACAGCCTCCACTACTCTGAGACTAGACAAACTAGATGGTGCCTGCCTACCTCTGCCTACTGTTCTGAAAGAGATCACAAGAGAAGGCCCTAGGTAGAGTAGGAGAAAAATATAGAACAAAATTTAGTATCATAAAAAAAAGACACCAGACTGGTAGAATCCCTCAGACTGGCCTTTAGATACCCATTAAACCTGAAATGGAATCCCCTACCTTGGGCATCAACTTTCAGCCAAACAATAGACAGGCCTATAAAGTGAACAGAAACACCTGTGGGGAAGGTTCAAGCTCAGAAAGTAGGAAGAATCAAGAAAGGATAAATGGAAACTAGGAACTTAGGGAGAAAGTGGAAAGAGTGCTGTTATGTTGAGGGAATTGCAACTAATGGTACAAAACAAAATGTGTATAAATTGTTGAATGGATAAACTTTCACCCATATCACAATTTAAAAAAATACATAAAAACTAGCATTTGGTTGTACATAAAGTCTCTATGAGTTGGAATTGACTTGGTGACGAATAACAACAGCAGCAGCTGACAGACACTATAGTTATTCAGCTTTGGATGTTTGGCAAGCATTTTCTTGAATGTCTGCCTTGTTGTCAGTGATAATATTCTATCTTTCAAGTGAAAATAAGATTTTTGGAATTATATTAGCCACTGTAAACTTGATAGCTTCCCAACACTTAAAGAATTTTCTAATAAGGTTAGTGGTGATAATAAAAACTTGATTTTGTGATATTGCATAATACAGTTTGTTAACATTTGAAAGTGTGCATAATAACTCAGTGAACCAGTATTTTCCAGTGGCCATGCATGGGTAAAAGGTCCATTCAAAGTGCAAGACAGACAAATGGATTTTAATGTGAAATTCACTGATACAGTTTCAGATGTCACATTGCAACTGACCTTTAAGAAACTGTCACTTGAAGGTTTATGGTGTGGTACAAAAGAAGACTAGCCACAATTATCTTAAAAAGCTATTTCCTTTTTCCAACTGCACAAAAAGAGACGAGGAAATCAAATTACTAAGGACAACTTGAGATATGTGCTCTGGTGGTTTACCCATGAGAATGCAAAAGTTGAAAATCAAATCAGCAACAGCGAGATAGAGCCACCAGTGCCTGCCTCACAGCTACCTCACCTCAGACTGAAAATGAGTAATTGAAAGAACACAAGGTTTGAATCTGCAGATGCAATCTTAAATAATTGTTCTGTCACTTTACTAGTTTTAAACAACCCATGGAACTTTTGGATTTTAATAGGAAGAATTATTTGTTGCTGGTGTTAACTGATAGTACCAACACCATTCTCATGGTATAGTTGTGAGATGTCCAGCATTTTACAAATGAATAATAGAAGCAAAAATAACATAGGGAACAAAAGATCTCAGCCCTTTTTCTCCTACTAGCTTTTATTTTTCAAAGAAGCCAGCTGTAAAAGCTCACATATTCTATGATTCAATTTATGTGAAATTGTCAGAAAGATTAAATTTATATGGACAAAATGTAGATCAAGTTACATAGTGCTAAGGATCGAAGCTGGAATTGACTGCATAAGGGCACCAGGAGCTTTTTAGGGTATGGAAATGTTCTAAAATTGATTTTTGGTAGTAGTTACATAACCAGAATTACTAAAGAAGTGTGACATAAATTTACAACAAGAAGAAAAGTTTAAAAGAGTAGCTGCTGAGGCTGCTTATGTACTACCAAATACCTCATGTGATTTAATTCCTTGTTTTGAAGGTTTAGGGCCATGGTTTCATGGGACATCCCTGTTAATTGGCTTATTAATGTGTTTAGTGCTTCTGTTTTATCTCTTAGTTCACTGTGTAGTGCTTGGGGTTCTAAACGCTTGCAAGCAGTCATCCGAGGCATAACAATTTGTCTCTATTCACCTGGATCAACAGAGGAAGAAGGAGCATCAGGAATAAGAGAAGGATATGGAATATGTGGCTAATTACTTCCATGAACAACTATCTCCTTTGCCATGAGACCAAAAGAACTGGAGGCGCCCAACTACCATTACTGAACATTTTGATCAAAGATTCCATAGAAAAATCCTGATCAAAAGGGGGAAAATGTAGGACAAAATTTCATATTCTCATGGACTTCAGACTTACTACAGCCATAGAAGGTGGATTAACACCCGAAACTGTTGCCTTAGATACTTTAAACCTTAAACCAGAAATACCTTCTGAAGTCTTCTTAAAACTCGAAAGATGACATAGGAACCTTAGGGGTCAGACAGTTTATATTCATGAGGGAGGAACAACTCAAAAAGGGTAAGAATAATTGTGCAACTCGAAGGCTATAATTACTGTCACTCAGTTGTACATGTAGAAATTGTTAAATTCACCTATGTTTTGCTGTGTATATTCTCAACAACAACAAACAATATTTAGAAAAAAAAGAATCATTTCAAGATACAAGAACTTAGAGAGTTCTTTATCAATAGCCCTTCTTGGGGACTCTACTGGAGTAGGAATCAGCAAACTGTTCTATAAAGGACCAGAAAATATTTACAGCAGCATTATTCATAATAGCCCCAAACTGGAAACTATCCAAATGTCCATCAACTGGTAAATGAATAAACAAAAATGTGGTGTATTCATACAATAGAATACTGTTCAACAATAAAAGGACTGAAGTACTGCATACATTCTACTAAGGATGAGCCTTAAAAACACTGTACTAAACAAAAGAAGCCATATGTAAAAGATTATGTATTCTGTGATTCAATTCATGTGACATTATCAGAAAGATTAAATTTATGTGGACAAAATATAGATCAAGTTACCTAGTCCTAAGGATTGAAGCTGGAATTGACTGCATAAGGGCGCCAGGAACTTTTTAGGGTGATGGAAATGTTCTAAAATTGATTTTTGGTAGTAGTTACATAACTAGGATTACTAAAAATTACTTCGTTGTACATTTACAGTGGCTACATTTTATGTTATGTAGGATGTATCCTAGTAAAGCTTATTAAAAATCAATACATATACTTTCATATACATAAAGAATAATCAGAAGACTTTATGGTAAAGAAAACCCTATAGGATTGCCTATATTAACCCTATGTTAAATGTTAACAGTGGTTATCTATCTGGACTAATATACTTTCATTTTCTTTGCTTTTCTGTATTTTGCTAAATTTCAGTAAGGAATGTGTTAATTCCATAATTTAAAAGTTTAAGTTTTATCAGTAGTATTTTGGAAAAACAGTACTTGATGTCTAAATTTCTGAATAGAGGAATGGCAGTCAGTTTTGGCTTTTCCCAAAGCTTTTCACAATGGAATCAATTTTTAAGATAGTTAAGACTTAGGAATGTAGTCTGTGGCCATAAAAGTAGGAGACAAATTCAGGAAGGGTTTCTTACCTTGTTTTATATTTTTATTTTCTTTTACCCCTCTAAGGAGAATTATTAGACAGTAAACAGTACTTTCTTGATCTGTCTTGTTTTGGTTACAGATTAGAAGCAGCCAAAGATGATTATCGAATACGCTGTGAAGAATTAGAAAAGGAAATCTCTGAACTTCGGCAACAGAATGATGAACTAACCGCTTTGGCAGATGAAGCTCAGTCTCTAAAAGATGAAATAGATGTTCTTAGGTAAACAATCTTCCTATCTCTTTAAAATCTCAGAACCTTCATCACCCAGAACAGCTCTACCACTAATACTACAAAGTCTAGGATGTCTGAGCACAGCAGAGTGCTAAAGAGCCAGACTACTTGGCATCAGACTTCTGTGTTATCACTTAATTAACCTCAGTGTAACTTACTTTTTTTTTTTGGTCTATAAAATGGAAATATTTACACATCCCTGCCCTCAGATTGGAAACTCTGGTGGCATAGTGCCTAAGACATTGGATTGCTAACCAGAAAGCTGGTGGTTCAAACCTACCAGCCACTCCTCGGAGGGAATATTGGGCAGTCTACTTCTGTAGTGATACCGCCTCAGAAACCCAAGGATGGGTCACTGTGAGTTAGATCCTACTCAATGGCAGGGAGGTTGCTTTTTTTTACCCTCAGATTTGTGTGAGGAATTAAATTTTATTTGCAAACATTTGAAACAGAATCTGGCAAATAAATACAATTTTATCAGTGTTTGTGAAATAAAAATTAATCTCTGACAATCACTTCATGATCTTACAGCTCTATTGATTTCCTATTCCTGTTCTTTAATTTTGAGCCTTTTAGTCACTTAGACCTTTTTTTTTCTCAGATACTGTCACACAGCACAAGGCTTGCCACCTCATTTTCCACCATCCTACTTCTGAATAATCTCTTCCTCTCTTGGATCATTGCATCCATCTATTTTTTTCTACTTTTTCACTTTGAATACTGAGAGCTAATAGAGAAAATTATATAGTTTTATTGTTCTATTTATATTACAAATGGAACCAGATTTATATAATCAAATTTTTAAGGTACAATTTAAGTTCTCACCTCAATTCACTAAAATTTGCCAGCGCCTTCCCCTCTCCCACTACTCTACTGAAACAGCTATTCCTGTGGTCAGTCATAACATATTAATTAATTGCCAAATTATTTGGGCACTACACACACTTATTTTACTTTATTTCTGTGCTACATATAACTCTGCTGGCTACCTATTATTTGCTTGCCTAAAGTTGTATAACATTTTCTATTATACATTTACTAATAATTTTGGTCGTACTTTTTTAACCAGAGCAGAAAATTAATCTAGAATCACTTTTAATTTTGCATCATTAGAACATTTTGTCTCCTGGTAATCTCTCTTGGTTTAGCACTGTCTGAAGCAGCTTTACAAAATGTGTTTCTTATCTTTAATTTCCCATCTCATTCTAGACATTCTTCTGATAAAGTTGCTAAACTGGAAGGCCAAGTGGATTCATACAAAAAGAAGCTAGAAGATCTTGGTGATTTGAGGCGGCAGGTTAAACTATTAGAAGAGAAGAATACTATGTATATGCAGAACACTGTCAGTTTAGAGGAAGAGTTAAGAAAAGCCAACGCAGCTCGCAGTCAACTTGAGACATATAAAAGACAGGTAAAAGAAGAGTAACAAAATTTATTAATGCCATTTTCAAGCAAGTTCTCTGTTATAACAGTATAGCTTATTTAAAACTTTTGTTTTTGTGGTTTTCTTTTTTTCCCTGTGAAACTTAGTTCTTATCCAGAGGTCTCTACATAGATCCATTTATTGTTTTCTTGTTACTTTGTCATGAAATATTTAAGAAATACAAAAAAAAAGTATTAAAAAAATACATTAAGTAGAGATGCTTAAGAAATAAAATGTACTCCTCCTTCATCAGGGGTAACCATTATTTTGACTTTTGGTTTTATCATTCTCATGCAATCGTTATACTTTTGCTCCATATATGTACAGGCAGCCCTCGGGTTACAAAGTCCGTTTCTAACTATCTTTTAAGTCGAATTTATAGGTAAGTTAAATCAGGTGCATATGGCTTTTATTTAACCTTACTTTAATGCAAGAAGAGGCTCAAAGCCTTTTTAATGATTTAAAAGCTGTAGGTATAGCAGGTGAAGGTGATTGTGATAAACAATTTGTTGCCAGTAGGTTGGTTCAATCATTTCAAAATGAGCACAAATTTATTTAGTGTTAAAGGGCAAATAATAGTTGTCTGTATGTCAGATATTCATAACCTGGGAACTTACTATATATTTATCTGTAAACAATCTATAGCATTTTGAACATGTGTTTTATACAAAGATAAAATGAAAGTACTTTTCTGTAATTTACTTTTTTTGCTCAGTAGTATAGTAGTTCATTGAGTGAGATCACAATTTATCCACTCCCCTGTTGAAGGACGTATAGGCTGTTTAAATTGTTTTTTTTCTTTCTGTATTACAAGAAATGCCACTACATCTAGTATTGAACATGTCTTCTTCTAACATTTTGCAGCTGTGTGGAATTCTTCCTTAGAGTATCTTCAGTGTAATTAGATATTGCCAGTTGTTCTCCGAACTTCAACAAAGTTGCAAAATGTTCACACAAAGGATTGTCAGACTGATTTTTGCCTGTTGGATAGATATGAAGTGTGGGGTTTCATAATGATAATAATTTTCATTACCCTGATTATAAATTTATTTGCTGACCATATTTCTTTTGAATTGCCTTTTTTTTTTCTTTCATCCATTTTTAAATTGGATTATTTCTTGTTTCTTTATATATTCTAGGTAACTAGTATCATCATACAAGTTACGTATATCTCCCGCCAATCTGTGACTTATCCTTTTACTTTTTTGAAGTTGATCATTTTAATGTAATGAAATTTAAGTATAATTTTATGATTTGTGCTTTTGTACCGTTTTAAAGAAATCATTTCCTACATAAGGATGCAAGTTGAATTTCCTGTTTTTTTAAATAAAGATATAAAGTTCGTTTTGTACATTTAGAATTTTAGTCCACCTAGAATTGATATTTGCATAGGGTGTGAGATATAGATCCATTTGATACTTTTTTTGTCTATGTGGATGACCAGCTAACCCAGTACCATTTATTTAATAATCCATCTCATTTGCAGTGCTCTGCAGTTCACCCTCTATCATACAGTTTGTTTCTGGTCACTCTCTTGTGTTCCTTTGGCATATTTCTCTATTCCTACATCACTACCACACTACTTTATTTTCTTTTATAATTACTTGTATGTACTTTATGTTTTGGGTTGTTTTTGTTTAAGAAAAGGACAGATACCATTTTCTATTTGTTGATATATATATGAATAAAATTAATTTTTATATATTGCTTCTGCAACCTTGTAAAATTCATGGATTAATTCTAATGTAAATAGATACATCGGAAGTCATATAGTATGTAAATAAAACAATTTTGTTTCTTCCTTTATACTTTTTTTTAATAAGCATTCTTAAAATTTGATACAATTTTACAATACTCACAGGTTACTGATTTTTTCTTTTTTATTTGAATGGTTTACCAGTGTACTATATAGAGATCACCATAGGGTAGGATAAATAAATCCCATTGGTTTCCTAATTTGCTCAGTTTCTATCTCGAATGGATGTTGAATTTGATCAACTGCTTTTCATATATCTATTGAGAGAATTCCATGCTTTTCTTTTCTATTATTGTAGTGAGTTCTATTGTTATTAATGAATTTCCTAAGTTTAAACCATCCTTGTATTCCTGAGATTTAAGTAGTTTGGTCACAGTGGATTTATTTGTTATTTTCACATTGTTAAATTTGCTTTGTTCATTTTACTCAACAGTAAGTCACTTGAAATTTTCTATCTCATACTTTTCTGGTTTAGCATCAATCTTACGTTAGATTAATAAAATGAGTTGGAGAATGATCTCTCATTTACCATCTCAGAAAATATTTGTGTAAAACTGGAATTTTCTTTTCCTTGAAGTTTTAGTAGAAAAGCCCTGTAAACCATGAATGACTAGTAGGCTTTTTTGGTGGATACATTTTTCCCATCATTTTATCATGAAATGTTTCAAACATACAGGAAATTTGAAATAATTGACAAACTTGAATATGGATTGAGAAATTACCCAGAAGAGGTAGAAACTATAAATGAAACTTAAAAGTATGGGATGTGAAACAAGGAATGCTCTAATTAGAGCTCCAGAAGAAAGAACAGAAAAAATTGTGGCAAGACATTTGAAAAAAAAAGATGGCTGAATATTTGTCAGAACTAAGGAAGGATATCAGATTTAAATTAACATTGAATTACAGACAAAATAAATAAGAACTCTGTACCTAGAAATATTGTAGTAAAACTGCCTAATATTCTAATTTTTCTGTTTCTGATCTGCTTAATATGCTTTATTTCTCAGTGATACTATTGTTTTTCTTTCAACACATACTTTGAGTGCTTTTTTCAGACCTCCCTGATCATTTTTGATCATCTCTTACTCTTTTTCATAATTTAGATTTCCTTTTTAATTTTCTTTTTTTATTAACTTTTTATTGTGATTTAGGTGAAAGTTAAAGAGCAAATTCATTTCCCATTCAACATTTCATACACATTTTATTTTAATGATACTGATTGCAGTTCCCACAGTGTAACAGCTCTCTTCCCAATTCCTCCCTGTGATTACTGTTTTGGTTATCTAGTGCCGCTTTAACAAAAAATACCACAGGTGGAAGGCTTAAATAAACAGGGGTTATTTTCTTAGCGTTTAGGAGGCTAGAAGTCCGAGTTCAGTGTGCCAACTCTAGGGGCTAGGTGAAGGCCCCGTGACATTGGCTCTGCCTCTTGCTCCTGGCCCCACTGAAGCTGGAGGCTTCTCTTACCTCAGGCAGCTGCTGGCTGCTGAGGCTGACAAACCCAAAGTGGACAAATAAAATGGCACAGTTCTAAGATTACCAAACAATGTGGTAGGCCACTAGTTCAAATTCAGAGACAGTCCCAAGATGAGCAGGAACATGGCAGGCTGCTGAATGAAGATTCAGCTGTGTGCAGGGTCCAAACATGTAAAAAAGCTGCAGAAACTTTTCTCAGAGCTTCTTAAATACTAGAAGCAGACCACATCCCTAAGGTAGCTCCTCAGCTGCTCCAGCAGATTCCACCATGGAGTTGATTACCGGTCTTTCATGGGAAATAACTACACCAGCTGTCCAGCCACTCAAAACCAGGCCCAGCTAACAATCTTGCCTTCTGAGCTTTCTTCCTGTGCAAATGCTGCCCTCCTGATCTCTTATGGTTGATTGTTCTAAGGAGTGTGCCTCTCCCGTGTAATTGTTTACCTTGCAGACCTGTCTGTTGTTCGGCTGAAAGTTGAGCAGTGGGAGTGAGTTCAATTCCAGGCCTGAAGAGTGACTCAGGCCATAGTCTTAGGGCTTTCACCAGTCTCTCTCAGACCAGTAAGCCTGGTCTTTTTTATGTTTTTGAGTTTGTTCCACATTTTTCTCCCACTTTATCCAGGATCTCATGTTTTGATTCCTTTCTAAGTGGTTGGCAGTGGTAGCTGGGCACCATCTAATTCTTCTGGTCTCAGGATCATGTAGGCTATGGTTTCATGGGCCACTAGTCCCTTGGAGTAATCGTTTTCATGCATCTTTGATTTTCTTCACTCTTCTGTGCTCCAGATGAGGAGAGGCCAATAGTTGCATCTTATAGCTGCTCACAAGCTTTTAAGACCCCAGGCTCTACTTACCAAAGTAGGATATGGAACAATGTTTTTGTATAGTATGTTATGCCAATTGAACTTGATGTCCCCTGTAACCATGGTCCTGAGTCCACAGGCCCAGTGATTCACTCCCTCAAGGTGTTTGGTTGTGGATAAGAAGTTATCAGACTTTGGCTCCTGTTTGTTCTATTATATATGGATATTTTTATAGTACGTACAAATACATACGTAGAACTATCATCTCCTATACCTTTGTATGGTCATAGGTATATTCCCGTTTGCTTACCCATCCTGATACCCATTGTGTTAGATTGGGTTCTCTAGAGAAACACAAAAACCAACAAAGCAGAGAGAGAGAGAGAGAGAGAGGAGAGAGAGAGAAATTTATCTTAGGAAAATGGCTCACAAACGTATAGAAGCCGGCAAGTCCAAAGTCCCTGGAGGAAACTTCGGGCTGGCAGCAGCCTTAGCTTCTGCAAGCACAGGGGGCCAAGAAATTCAAGGCTGGCAGGCAATACACTGGTTGTTGACTCCAACAAAGATGAATCCAAGATCTCCAGGCCTAGCGGTGGGCTGCTCACTCACAGAAGTTTGTAGTCCGCACACTACGGTTCCAATCCCTCAAGGAATGTCTCTCTTCCCAGGATGTCCCTGGATATCTTGGAAGCAGGCCACACCCCTAGGGAAACTCCCCTTGGGCAGA